AAAAATGGAATAAGGAGAGGAGAGGAGGAAGAGAGGAAGAGGAGAAGAATGATAATGGGAAGAGGGAAAGCGATAAGGTAAAAGAAAGAATGGAAGGAGAGGAGAAAAAGGGGAAGATAATTACGCAGGAGGAGATGGCAATTAGAAAGGAAGCGAAGGAGAAAATAAGTCAAAGGAGGAAGAGGATAAAAGAAAAAGAAGAAAGAAAGAAGAAAGGAGACGGAAAAGGGAGGAGAAAGACAACAGAATAAAGAGTAAAAGAGAGAGAGAGAAAAAAAAGGAAATACTTGAGGAAGGAAAGAAATGCATTTAAAACGCACTTTTTTTTTTTTTTTTTTTTTTTTTTTTTTTTTTTTAAGGAATTGAGTCGCTATCTGTCAAGTGGGGGGTGGGGGTGGGGGGTGAGGGTGGGGGTGGGGGGGGTAGGGGTAGGGTAGGGAGGTAAAGAAAGTGGGTAAGAGAGGAAGGGGAAGGAAAGGGAGGGAAGGGAAGGGGGGAAAAGGAGGGAAGGGAAGGGGGGAAGGGAGGGAGAGAGGAGGGAGAAGGGGAGAAAGGAGGAGGGGGAAGAGGAAGAGAAGGAAATAGAGAAGGAGGAGGAGAGTAAAGAAGTAGAAAAAGAAACAGAAGAAACGGAGGAGAAGGAGGAATAGAGAAAAAAATAGATATTGATGAAGAAGAAATAAGATTAGGAGGAGGAGGAAAGGGAGAGGAGAAAGAAAAAGAAGAGGGAGAAGAGAAAGAAGAAGAAGAAGAAGAAAAAGGAGAAGACGAAGAAAAAACAAGAAGAAGAAGAAGAAGAGGAGAAGCGGAAAACCCGAAGAAGAAGTAGAAGAAGAAAAAAGGAAAAGAGAAGATTAAAAAAGAAGATAAAAACGAAGAAGAAGAAGATGAAGAAAAGAAGAAGACGAAGAAAAGAAGAAGAAGAAGAAGAAGAAGAAGAAGAAAAAGGAAAATAGAAGAATAAAAAAGAACATAAAGACGAAGAAGAAGAAGACGAAGAAAAGAAGAAGACGAAGAAAAAAAAAACAAGAAGAAGAAGAAGAAGAAGAATAGGAGGAGAAGAAGAAAAAGAAGAGGAAGACGAAGAAGAATAAGAATAAGAATAGGAGGAGAAGCGGAAAACCCGATTACGAGTCCTCTAATCTTCCTAATGATTCAGACGCATTTGGCTACGTTGCTGGCATTCTGAAAACATGAGATCAGCTTATAAGGCCTCGCGCTCTCTCTCGCTCTCTCTCGCTCTCTCTCTCGGTCTCTTTCTCGGTCTCTTTCTCGGTCTCTTTCTCGGTCTCTTTCTCGGTCTCTTTCTCGGTCTCTTTCTCGGTCTCTTTCTCGGTCTTTTTCTCGGTCTCTCTCGGTCTCTTTCTCGGTCTCTTTCTCGCTCTCTATCTCGCTCACTTTCTCGGTCTCTTCCTCTGTCTCTGTCTCTGTCTCTCGCTCTCTCTCTCTCTCTCTCTCTCTCTCTCTGTCTCTGTGTATATATGTATATATATATATATATATATATATATATATATATATATATATATCTATATATATATATAGACACACACACACACACACACACACACACACACACACACACACACATATATATATATATATATATATATATATATATATATATATATATATATATATATATATATATATATATATATGTATATATATATATATATATACATATGCATGTGTGTGTGTGTGTATGTGTGTGTGTACATATATATATATGTATATATGTATGTATATATACACACACACACACACACACACACACACACACACACACACACACACACATATATATGTGTATATATATATATATATATATATATATATATATATATATATATATATATATATATATATATATATATATGTATATATATATATATATATATATATATATATATATATATATATATATATATATATATATATATGTATATATATATATATATATATATATATATATATATATATATATATATATATATATATATATATATATATATATATATATATATATATAGAAAAAGTATGAATGAGAATGAGTATCTTCACAATACAAGAGATGTATTTGACCGGTTTCGAATTATATCTTCGTCAGATGTATTTCTGACGAAGATATAATTCGAAACCGGTCAAATACATCTCTTGTATTGTGAAGATACTCATTCTCATTCATACCTTTTCTACATTCGTCGACATGAATACGGTTCATATATATATATATATATATATATATATATATATATATATATATATATATATATATATATATATATATATATATATATATATATATATATGTATGTATATGTATGTATATATATATATATATATATATATATATATATATATATATATATATATATATATATATATATATAATATATATATATATACAAATATATATCTCTCTTTCTTTCTCTTCTTCTCCTAGTAAAGACAATGAGAGAGAAAAAGAAAAGTGTGAACAGAAACGAGAGTACGAGACTGAGAAAGAAAAAAAAAACGAAGTGAGAGAAAAAAAAATAAAGATAATAATAACAAAAATTACACTAAGGGTTAAAAAAAGGAGTAGAAATAAGGGGAAAACACTCTTAAGTACCGCGGCGTCGACAGGAAGGAGATAAATTGTTTTCCCCTCGTTATTAGGGGGGGGGGGGGGGGAAGGAGGGGTCTTGGAAGGGGAAGAGGGGAAGAGGGGGGAGGTAAAGTGGGGGGTTGGGGTAGGG